TTTTTTTTTTTTTTGAGACAAGGTCTTGCTGTGCAGTTCAGGCTGGCCTTGAACCCACTATGGAGCCCACATTGGCCTCAAACTCATGATGATCCTCCTACCTCAGCCTCCTGAGTGCTGGGACTACAGGTGTGCACCACCACACCTGGCTATTTTGTGTTTCTTGCAACCAAGAAAATCCTGACTCCAGTGGAGGCATCAAAGAACCACTGAAGGATTTATGTTGGAAAGCAGAATGATTTCTGAGAGTAAAATCACGATATTGAAAGAGCATGGGAGGAAAATTAAGTCACATGGGATGGAGACTGAGAGACCAGGTGGTAGGGGGAAAAAGGAGTGGGGAGTGCTATTAATGAAAACAATGGAGGACCGAGGTTTTTTTGTTGTTTTTGTTTTGGTACCGGGGATCGAACTTGGGTCCTTCCACTTGTGAAGCAGGTGGCGGAACCACTGAGCTAAATCCCTGGCCCTGGAGGTCTGAGTTTTAAAGAAGAAACAGGAAGACCAAGTAAGACTGAACAGTGGTAACCAGATTAGGCATTAGGTCATGGTTACCTTTGTGAGAAGCTTCATTGAGTGGGGAACAAAGATTACTGCGTTTTGAGGCACCTGTGGGAGGTAAGGAACTGGAGATGAATATACTCCTCATCTTTACAAACCCTGACTCAGATGAGCAGGTGAGGGCCATGGGTGATAGCTACAGGGAGGATTTTTCTTTTTTAAATGAAGAAGGCCGAAGCATATAAATATGCTTTAGGGGAGAAGAAATAGAATGGGGAAGACTGATGGAAACCTTAACTTCTCAGAAGTCCTGAAAAGAAAGAGTGGCAGGGAGGAACTAGAACACAACCAGGAGTTTGCTTTTGATGACCTCTAAGGACAGCAAAGTACAGTAATAATGCTTAGGACATGCCAGTTATTTTTCCAAGCACTTTAGATGTATTAACTGAATTAGGTCTGGGTGGAGGTGACGAAGTTGGGAATGAAGCAATGTGCATCCAAAAATCAAAATTATCTCTCCAAATATAAAGATAAGGTTACATATAATAAATCTAAAAGGAGAAAGACATATAGGGAGCTTAAAAAGTAGTGGCTTGAAAAATAGGAGAGGAAGTTAACCAGAAACATATACAATTATTTCAGGATAGTGATTCAATGATTGTGTCACTTTCTCCTGCAGTACTCAGATACACTAATTCAGAGCTCAGAGACAAGCTATAATGACCCAAGGCTCGAAGCCCTAAGTGGAGCGGGACAGAAAAACAAGAGTTCGAGGAAGCCCTGGCAGAGGATAGTTTGGTAGTCTTAGAATAGATATAAAAGAGACTCCAGGAGAAAATAATGATGGACAGGAAAAAAGAAAACAGGATAGAAAAACTACAAACACAGAATCAATTGTTTCTTATCCCACTCCTTTCAGAGTGGACAATAAAGGCAGCATGTTGCCACAATATAAGCTGTCACCTTCAAGTTCAGGATTGTAGCAGTCCTCAGGCAGGATACAGCCTACCCAGGGCGCTACCCGCTCACCAAGACCTTTGGCAACATCTAAGAGTTTGTTATACACATCTTGGGCCTTACCCCAGAACTACTGAATCAGAATTCTCAAATACTTCATATGCATATTAAGTTGATGAAGCATGAGGATAGGTTGATGAGGGAATCTGGAAATGCTCGTAATATTGCTTCTAAAATGCTATAAGAGGCAGATGTTGAGCATGCAAGAGTCACTGTATTCTCCCTTTTATCTGTAACTTAAATCCTTCCCTCTCATGATTTATAATTCTCCAAACTGGTAATTCCACACTGCACCCTAGGTGCTGTCTCTTTAGTAGGTACGAAAATTCTATGTTTCTCTTTATCACGTTTATCTCTAAACACTGTGCTTATCAAAAAAGGTTCTTCTTGATAATCCAGTTATGTTGGTGTAACTGCACAAACTATAAAAGACTACATTAACTACAAAAGTCAACATTTCCAAGTGAACTCATCACCATATCGATAATTTTCATCATGACACACTCCAAATACATATTATTTAGAAATCACCCATAGCTCCCCTACCTGCTGTCCTGGACCTTTAGAATTTATTTCCATGTATAAAAGGAACCCGCCTCTGCATTTCCCTATTTCTTTCTGCATCAATATTCCACATTCAGCAGCCAGCTCTATTTGTTTAGATTTGCACACGTCATGAATATCTTGACTTTCAAGATCATTTCACCTCTCCTTGATGACTTTTTAATGTGAACCTCAGGGTGTTGCACAAGACAAACCATAAGCTAGCTGCCCTTTAATTTTAAATTGGCTTGAGATCTCATATGAGAGCCAAACTTTCTCTGCACAGAAAATCGGCCCAAGTGAAATGAAATGCATCGAGCGCCAAAGCCACTCCAGGGAGAGTTCTGCAGCTAGCGACAGACACACATACACCTTATCTACTGCTGGGTCAGCTCTAAATGATGCCGTGCCTTTCTCCCAACATCCGTGTTTTGAAGTTGCCACGCGTGATTATGGCTTTGATCTGCTTTTTATCTTCTCCTTTATCCAGGAGAACCAAGTTCCTGGAGAGCCGAGGGGGCGCGGGGCCAGCTCTGCTCCAGTCCTCCGGGCTGTGGCGCCTCGGAGACGGCGACCCGGGGGACGGGGTCGCGAGCTTTCGAGAGACCGACGATGCTTTCCTTGCCTGGGACTTTTTTCTCCAACCCCCCTCCCAGGGGAGAGCCCCTTCGGACCGCAGTGCCAGAGGGGTTGTTTTGGTTTTTGTTTTTGGTACTACCGGGGATCGAACTCGGAACCTTGTGCTTGCGAGGCGGGCGGCGGAACCAGCGGGTTCTTATGAGCTTTGACCCTCGGGGCGGAGGCTGGCAGGGGCCCGGTCCCTCCTCGGGCTGAGCGCGGTGCCTGCGGATCCCGGCCCCCGCGGCCCTGGGCACGCACCGGACACCCGCCTGACGGCCCTTCCCGCCCCTCCAGCTCTCCCGCCCCTCCCTGTCCTCGCCCACTCCGCTCTCTCTCGCTTCCCCTCCACCCGCGGGATACCTTCGTCGCCGCCGCCGCCCTCGAACCTCGTCGCTCGGACTTGCCGGGCGAGCACCCGACGCACCCCCTTGCTGGCTGCGCGCAGGCGCACTGAGTGGCGGGAGGGGGGGGGGGGGCGGGGCGGGCTGGCCTGCTTTGCGCAGGCGCGCATGGCTCGGCTCTGCTCGGCGGGACTCGATTCGGCTCCTAATCGCTCGGCTGGACTCGGCTGAGCTCGGCTCTGAGCTGGCTGCCGGGCGACTTCGGCTCGCTGAGTGCGAGCCTGGGGCCCCGCGGCGGCGGCTGACTGGAGCACCATGTTCCTTCGCTCCGTCAACCTTTGGAACCTGGCGTTCTACGTCTTCATGGTGTTTCTGGCCACTCTGGGTGTGTGGGACGTGTTCTTCGGCTTCGAGGAGAACAAGTGCAGCATGAGTTATATGTTTGAGTACCCTGAGTACCAGGTGAGGGTCCCCCGCGCCCGGGTGCGGGACGCGATCCCAGAGCCGGGGTCGTGGGTCGCCCGCCCGGCCCGCGCCTGCCTCGGTTTCCCCGGGGGACGCGGCACCCCCGGCCCCTCCTCCCGCCCTCGCACCCGTCCCCGCCTCCCCCTCCCGCCCTCGCACCCGTCCCCGCCCCGCAGCCCCACCCCGCAGCCCCGCCCCGCAGCCCTGCCCGCCGGATCGTCCCCTCTAGCCCCGCCCCGCCCCGCCCCGCCCCGCCCCGCAGGTGCCCACGGGCGGCTCCCCGCTCCGGGCTGAGCGGGCGGCGCGCTTGGTGTGTGGGCGACCCGGGGACGCTCCGGGACGGGGCTCCGGTCGTGCGGGTTCGCGGGTGCCCGGCGCGAGCTCCACCTGTCCGGGGACCTGGGGCCGCTGCCGCCGGGACGTGGGTCCACCTGGGCCCTGGACTCCGTCCGCGCGCGTGGTGCACACCTGTGTGTCGCACACCTCCGTGTGTGTGCTGCTTCCCGGCGGCCAGGCCTCTTACCAGTTGCACACAAAACCTGTCCTAGTGCTACCTTTCCCCACCGTGTTTACAGTTCAAGAGCGACCTGGCCGCTTCCTCCCCCGTCCTACCTCTGCCGCCTGGTACTGAGTGCTTTCAATCAGCCCCTTCATTAGTTGGACGACTTAGTAGAATCTAGAATTTCTATTCATGACCCGCTGTGAAACGATAGTGATAAATGATACCACCGTCCGAAGAAATTCCTTCCGAGTGATGCATTTATTTCTAAGTGCATCTCTTAATGACAGGAACACCTAGTACAGTAACTTGTATAAAATGCATATGTGCTGCAGTGCATATTGATAAAGTACATTTTTAGAGTACAGTACTTTTAAAACCACGGCAGATTTGATGATGAAGAATCCACATCAGAATGCTTCTGTATACCTGTCAATGAAGGGAGCATATTATTTAATTACACTGCTATTAAGTAGATCTTAAAACTACCTAACATTTCAGTTGCTGAAACGCATCTTTTTCTCATGAGCAAAATTCTGGTAAATTTAGATTTTTATTTGTTTTGAAAGATTCTGTCCTTGGTTTTGTACCGGTGGTTAAAAGGGAGTGGGAACATTGCATTTCGGATGCCATTGAAGAGAACATTTTAACATGTTACTGCTGTCTTAATTTCTAAGCAAACAAACTGGAATGTGCTGGTTTATGCTTATTGGAGTCTAATGCTTATATACATGGGCTTTTAGATTTTTTTTAACTGGATATAAAGCTTATAATCCCCTTTCATTGCCTATGCTTTAATAATTAGGAAACTCCCAGTAGATTGCAGTAGGTCACTAGTTTTGTACTGCGTTGAAGACTTGGGTTAACAGCATTTTGAAACAATACAGTGCTAATTCTCATGTATTTTTAGACTACCCACAATTACTGAGGCTATTGTAATATTTGCAGTTGTAGAAATTGTTTTTCTCAGTGTTGGCAGCAAAGCATATGGGCCTCGCAGATGAATTTCCTGCCTCATAAAATGACTAGAAAGACAAAATTAATGTAACTAATTCGAAAGAGCTATTTGGCTTGTTTGTTGTTAAGTTGTGTGTATTAGTTATTTTGGTTCAGATTGCTTTCTCAGGGTTTTATATTACTGATTTGTTAGTACAGTAATAATTACTGTGGCAGAAGTTTCTGATACACATTTTGAGCAGATTTTATTTTTATGATGTAAAATGATGTGTTAATTCTCTGTAGTGTTTGTATTTGACTCTGAGACCTTGTATTTTGCACAACAGGTTTTGTCATTTTTACAAATACGATGAAAACCTGTCTGTAGAAGTGGGTCATTTTGAATATAGTTTACAAGAATTTTAGATAAATGAGGTCATTTTTGTATGAATAAAAATGTTCTAAAGCAATGTATATAACATTGCTTGTTTTTAACGTAATTACGTTTCATCCATCTTTCCCAGTATTCTCAGGTTGCCATGCAGCAAGTGGTCTGTCCTGGCCATTGGGCTTTCTTCTCTTTCCTGGTGCTTTCCTCTCTGTACTGCTCATTTGCATCACTTAGCTAGCCAGGCCAGGAAATGGAAAAGTAGTTGAAATACACTGCAGCTTAGTCTCCATTTTTTTTAAGGTTCCATGGGAATTTGAAACTCTATGCAAAAAAAAAAGTTTTGAGTTTAAAATTGATTCTGTGCTACCTGTGGCTTTCCTAGACTCACTTGTTTGGAGTTAAGTGAGCATTTCATGAATATATCTTAAGTCAGCCAGGCAAGAGACACATTACCCTTTAAAGCTTCCTGCCTTGTTACACAGCAAGGCAGAAGATTTACTTGGTAGCACTCTGTTTGAGGAACATTGTAGAATTTGGGAAGAAACACCTGAGTTGTTTTCTCTCACTGTCATTTGGCTTTCTTCCGGTGAATGACCTAATGCTCTCTGAAAGAGAATGTTGATATTGAGAATAAGAATCATGTTTTGTTGGTAAGGATGATGTTTATTTAGCAAGTCATCTATTGAATGATTGCTCTATGCCAGGTTTACTTGATATTTAGTATGAGAGAGAATTAGTGTTAAACTAGTCTTTGTGCCTTGAATTTGTAATACAACCAGGGAGACAGGAATGTTGTATATAGTCACTGTATAATGTGGTACACGTTATAATTTTACTATGAGAGAGTGTGAGGCTCTTTACAGAAGAGAGAATATCCAAGTTTGTCTCATATATTCAAAGGCTATGCAGAAGAGGTAGTGAACTTGGCCATGCAAAATGTATACGTAGTTCATAAAGTGCAGGAACAAAATTGCAGCCGTACATAGCACACAGAAAGGTAAAAAGGCACCAGGACACACTGCCTGTGAGTAGTATTTATAATATATTATCATTAATGTAAAAAGGGAGGCAAGCTCTATGAACATAATTTCTTGTATGAATGTAAAATATTTCTGGATGCGCTCAATCTGGTCACATTGGCTGCCTTCTCAGGCAGGGGAAGTGAGTGGCTGAAGGACCAGGGGTAGGAGAGATCCTTTCTTTCGAATCTTGAATTTTAAAATACATAAGAATAAATTTTAAAACATAGCATGTTTAAGTTATAAGAAAGGTAAAAATAGATTTTGAAGTATCTCAAGCCTTTAATACGTACACATACAGCGAGAAAACACAGAAGGTGTGTGTTTCAGTAAGGTTTCTCTTGAGAACAGGCCTTTGGATTGTAGCAAGGAGATTATGTCCAGGTGAGATGGGAGTCCCTAGGACTGTTCTAGGAGAAATGTGTGAAACCGTGTGCATTTGTGTGGATCAAAAATTGTTTTCCTTTTTTGGTTAATTGTGGAAATTGAACTTTTTGCAGTTTGAATTCACAGTTACAAGGTATAGGGTAACCCATTCAGGACCCTCCTGTCTCCCTGGAGCTATTTTTATTCCCCATTCCTATTCCCCAATAAATTTTCCTACTCCTAACCTCTGTTGTTCTTTAGAATTCATTCTTCGACTTCGGGGAGCATGAACTCGGTGTATCTGACATTGAGCATGTTGGGAGTTGCATCTGTCCCCCTGAATCAGAAGGACATAGATGTCACAAAGAGCTTGCTGTTGGGCTTTCCTCACAGGAGCCCACCCTGCATCCCCCAGGATGTACTTTGATGTACTTTTATCTTGCTTTTTCCTCTTTTACTCAGCCCAAGCTTGCTCTGCAGAGCCAGTTTCTCCCTCCCTCTTCACTTTTACTTTTTCAAATAAACTTTGTCACCATTTAAAAAGAGGTATAAAAATTTTAGTTTTTTTTTTTTGGTACTGGGGATTGAACTCGGGTCCTTGCGCTTGCAAGGCGGGCAGCGGAACCACTGAGTTAAATCCCCGGCCCTAAAAATTTTAGTTTTTTAAAATCATTTTTCTAGCTCTTGGGTGTTTCTAGATTGTTCTGTCTTTTGAAAGGGTTAGAGATGAGTCAAAGAAGGACAGTGGTCATAGAAATAAAACAAGAACAAGGTCATAGAAATAAATAGTACTTACGTGTAAAGGTAAGAGCTTCAAGGTCATTTTGGGGTGAGGGCTTGGTCTTTAAATAACCTATATAAGATAGCCAGTTTATGTTGGTGTTCTGGTACTGTAGAGTCCTGCTCAACTGTGGCAGCCAGGAAACAGAGAAAAGGAGGAGCTGGGGACATGAATACACCCTCCAGGTCATGTCCTCTGTGACCACCAGCACCACCTATGAAGTCCTGATCGGATGAATCCACTGATGAGTCTAACACTCCCATGATCTAGTCACCACCCTAAAGCTCCACTCTGGACCCATGAGACTAGACATTTTAGATTGAAGCCATAACAAATACATTATAGGTAACATATATAAGTAACAAAACTTCTCTTTATTTTTGTATTTTTATTATAACATTTGAAAAATGAGAGAGCAGCATAAACATAAACTTGTGGGATATTTGTGGTGGTTAGGTGGGGTGTCAACTTGATTGGCTTTGGGATCCACCTGGGGCTTGATGGAGTGCTCCTCTGAGTGACTGGGGGGTTCGTGGAGATGTGGCTTTGGGATCTCTCTGTGTTCGCTGGTCCCTTCCTCTCAGGCCCTGCTCTGCTCCCCGGCTGCCATGAACTAAGCAGCTTTGCCCTACCACGTCCTTCCACCATGATGTCTCTGCCTTAGAGACAGCCATCCATGGACTGAATCCCTCAAAACATGAGCCAAATTAGACTCCTCTTTTAAGTGTGGGTGTCGGGTATTGTGTCCAGCAGTGGAAAAGCTGACTAATGCGGTATTTGCCCTTGTTTTTGGGAAAGTGCTAGGTATCTGATTTGATGAAAATGCTTTTAGTTCACAAGGTGCTCATGAGAAACTTTTGGTCAAATTTTAACCTTTGTATGCTTCATCCCTGAAAATAATTGTTCACAAATGTACACACTGCCAAACAGCAGTGATGTAAGTAAGGGTGATTGTGTGGCAAGGTATATTTTCCTCTGGGAAATCAGTCTTATAGAAGTCTAGTA